CTGAGCGCGTGGTTTAGGCTTTCAACCGTTTGCAAGCAAATAAATGTACCAACAGTCCTGGGTCTTTATACAGACGGAATATTCGGTCAATATTCACGAAATTTGGATAATATTCAGCTCACACTTTTGCCTACGAACGCCGATGAACTGATAATCGGTGATTATTCGCGAGCAGTGGACTAGAAGAGTATTTTTTATACAGACGCGCGGGGCAAGAAATTGAATGTTATGTGGAAAACAAAAAGTGCTGAACAAGCAAGCGCAGATTTGATCCGGAGCTTTTCTTGAGGATGAAGAAAAGCATTTCTCGAGGAATAAATCTCTCTTTCTCTCGTTGTCCTGAGCTCGGGTGCCAAATCCTACACTTTGTTGCGTCGGAAATAATCGAAAATTATCATCGAGGACGCAAAAAGTCGATCGGGTTTATAAATCATACGAAGCCGACGATGACATCGTCGATAACTGAATTTTATATTTTTCTCATTCGACGATCGTGAAATATTGTTCTCGATATAACTGAAATTTACAAAAATCTTGAAATATAAATCCAAAGGGCATAAGTTTAAAATCTCCTGGATATGAGAACAAATAAGCGCACAAGTTTGAATCTGTCATGTACAAACACGATGTATTTTTACAGTGTAAAAAGATGAGCTTGCGCGTGAGACTTGGCTTTCGGATTTTATTTATTTTTTCTCAATATCGAACCATGAAACTTGTTCTTGTCATGGCAAACTCGAAGGTATAAAAAAAAATATCATACGTCTATGCGGTGTACTCATGAGTAGGAGGAAAATTTACGATTTACAGCGATAGCGTACGTAAGAAATTTTCCGGAGTGGCTTTCGATGGTTTTGTTCGTCAATGAAATATGAGTGTATTTATTGGTTCTCGACTCGTGCTGCCAAGGAAGTTTGCTTTTGAAGAAAAATCCAAGTTATAAAAGTGTTGCGTACGTGATTATCGAAGTAATCTTTGGTAACTACTCCAAAGCTCGGATAAGAAGAAAAATGTCGTTAATACGGTTTTAGGAAAAGTATTTTAATTGAGTAAGGCTGCGGATAAGCTGAGGCGATTGCAAAAAAAGTTAAAAAGGCAAAGATTTATCGAGCCCTGAAAAGACGCGAGTTCATTGGAAAGCCAACCGAGCGAGCCATTGCGGCGAATCGACGAGCGTGTACGGTACGGTATGGGTCGTTGTCCAAAGTGACGCTATTCAGAGAGATGGACTTTGGACGGATCGATCGCGAAAATCAAATGCACTCGTTCGAACGAGTCCGGAGAAAATGAAGGGCGAAATCTCGCGAGAGATCCGAAGCCATGCATCTCTCGAGAACGTAGTCGTCGGTCTTGAAAAGAAAGAAGAAATCAAACGGTCGGAGCTGAGAGGACGCGCGGCGGCTCAAGGTCCTCCCCGTACTCTCGCTGTCTCGGAGTCGTCGGAATCTTTTACAGGATTTCGCATCCATAAAATCGGGGGGATCAGCTACACGTAAAGTGAGTTATTTCGCTGGGAGTGCTGAAATCTCGCGCGCATAAAGTCGCGCATGTGTGCACGCGCGTGGCGTAGTGGTAGAGAGCACGGCTACACAAGCCGGATACACTTGATCAATGTTCTCGCGCGGGGTGAGTGCGCGCGCGGGGGGATCAGAGGAAGTAATAATGTCAAGCTGAAAAGCCAGAAATTCCACGCCCGAATAAGCTTTGTTATTAAGAGCGGAAAAGCCGAGGCTCGCCTACCAGTGTGCTAGTAGTTAGTACGCGTCACGAGAGAGAGCCAGAGACATTTGTATTTTCCAGAATAACATACGAGCTGGCGTATTTATGTAATTGCGGACAGGCGCGACGACAAGTGCTGGACAGCTCGATTTAGCATAATTTCAGCCGGCGCAAGTGTTATAATATTCCTGGCCTCGGCGCTATTTTTCTTTGTCGCACGGCTCGTTTCTCCCGATGACTCGGTGGAAAAGCGATTGGCTACTTTTCAACTTCGTCAACGGTTAACGAGTTAATTGTGAGCCTGACTTTTTGCCTCTCGTCCTCGACTTGGAAAGAAAAAAGAAAATGGAGCATTTGTCGAAAGAAACGTGGCACGAGTTCTGCGAGCTATATAACAGCTAGCTGCAGCCCGAATCGAGCTTATACGAGCTTCGACAGCTGCGCGAGGCAGGTATATATCTATATAAAACCGCAGTAAACTAGCCGTGTAGTAAACAAGCTGTGCGCAGCAGACAGCGTGCACACAGTCGCTCGACTCGCTATACGGCCCGTGTACTGCGCTAAGGTCGTCAGTTATATTTTCCGCAGAGTAGCGGTACGATTTCCTCCAGCTCGACTCTACTCTACTACTGCGCGCTACACATATAAACAGGCAAAACTCGTGCTTCAGCGAGAGAGAGAGAGAGAGAGTAATCTGAGCAGCAGTAGCTGGAACTTAATGAAGCGTCGCTCGGGCCGCAGCAGCGATTTATCGCGCGGTTTTCAAGCGAGCCCGAAAATATGGATCGTTTCGTCAGCCGTTTTGATTTTCTAATGAACAATTAATTTTTCTCTTTTGTCTAAAAGCCGCCGCTCGTTACGCAGAGCTGCAAAGTCCGCGGGTCAAGTATTGTGTGCAGCTGCTCGACACAGTACGCGCTGCAAGCTCGAAATTGTTTCTCTCCTGCAGCCTGACCAAGCGAAAACTCGATGCTCCGCGTGTATACGCATAGTAATGGACATAATAATAGAGTCTCAGAAGGACGATGAAGTGCCTTTTGGGCGGCAGCAGCAGCCGCGATTGTTTTCGTCTACATTGCAGCGGCACGAAAACGTAATATACTTACCTCTAATGAGTTTTGGCAAGCGCACATAATAAAATTATTACAACGCCGCCACCGCCGCCGGAGAGATCGTTACCCTATGATACGTAATTATATGCGTACGTGTAGCATATATAAATATATTGGTGAAAATAAGCCATAATTAATCAGTACTTACATGCGTGTGCGTCTATCGGTGTATGCATGATACGTGTGTATCAACCTGTGCGGGGGGAGGGTGACTGCATGGGTGGATACAAAGAGTACGTGAGTGCAACAAATTATAATTTAGCAGCAATGCAGGTATATCTTAAGGACGAGATCGTCGACGGTGATTCTTAATACAAAGTCGCTGTAGCGTCGCTGTATAATGAAAATGTGTAGCGAGGCGAACGTGACTAGGAATAAATATCGTCGTGTACAGCTCGCCTCGGAGCTCTTCCCCCGCTCTCCTTTTTTGTTCGTGTAATTTATTATAAAATCTGCAGAGCCGAGACGACGCAGTGATACATGTAACAAGCGTGCTTGATAATGCACACTCGCGCACACACGTTTAGAGTCGCGCGTTCTTTTATTTTATTTTGCTTATTTTATTTTGCTCTCGTCGATGGTCGTATTTTTTTACGGGCTCGCGCACCCACACGCGCATCGCCAAATACGCTATACATATGCGTGTACATAAGTACATGAAGTACACTCGAGAATTTCAGCCGCGATAAACTGCTTTTACGCTCATGCATACGCACACTTGAGTTTTCGAGTGAGAGCTGCGGGTTATGATGTTGCTTTTGGGCTCGCTATACAGGCGTACCGAGCTGTTTTCTCTCTGTGCGAGCGCATCGTCGCTGCTGTACATGCATGTACAAACGGCATATATGTATATAATATGCACGTCGCGCGCATGAACTTTGGGTCGCGCGTGTATACGTACTCGCGAGCTAGCTCCTGTGTGGCGCGCAGCAGCTCCTTGTATAACAGAGAGAAAAGCCGCCGCCGCCGCCGACGCCGCCCGCTTTGTACGCCAGCGAGCTCGACTCGGATTAGTTTGTCCCGGCGCTTTTCAACATTTACTCGTGCGCGCAAAATTCCCAACTGTTTGCGCTCCCTCGGAACGAAAAGCTTTTAATTATAACATCCATGGGCGCGATTAATCGCGCGATCGAGACTCGCAGCTCTTACTGAATAAGTAATGCACCGCGCGGCCGATCGAAAATCGATTCCTGCATTCTCGCTGTGACCTTTCGCGAAACATCACCTTGTCTTACCTATACAGAGCGCCCCTTTTACGTAGCCACGGTAAAAAGTAATTTTTCTTGCGCGCGACATCTCGTGGAAAAACCTTGATCGTCCTCGGGATTTAAAGTACGCGTACGTGCGTGAGCCAAGTAGAACGCGTAAAACGACACGATCGGGTACTTTTTCCCAGCTCTCGAGGATACAATTTGAACAAAAAATAAAGACCAACAAAAAGCTCGGCTTTTATTTCTTTCTGCTCGAGCGAAGCGCGCGCAATCTGTTTGTCGGATATCGTTTATCCAGGCCTCTATCCTCGCTGTAAGGGATGATCTTTCTTTTCAACGAGACAAGAGCGCAAAAAAGAATTATTTCCGCCCGAACGTTTCAAAGCTCGACAAAAATCAAAGAATCGATTGACGATGCTCGACGCGGCCGCGCCGCAACTTTTCCGACAAATTAATTATACCTTGGAGAATATAAAGTATCATTGGCCGCGCTGCTGCAGATCGCGCACAGCTGAATATCCTTGGGGAATATTACGAGGCCTCGCTCGATCGCCTCGGCCCAGCCCAACTTTTAAAGCGTTCTACGGCACACATAATTTATGAAGCGAATCATATAGGCATTGCTCATAGCGACGCACAATTTCTCCATTAGCAATAATTTTTCTAGTAGCTTGCAGGCTAATTATACGGACAGCTGAACTATGTACTGAGGGATGGGGCATACAGAGAGTGGAAGTGTGACATTCCTATATAATTGTGTGTTATATTGCGTGAGCTATAATTCTATTATGCATACATGTGTAATCAACTCGAATATATATAGAAAAGCTTATATATTATCTGTGGCTGTGATTTAAGTAGCAAAATGATAGGTGTGATTTTTTTGTCGTTGTATACAAGGATTAATAAGATAAAGAAAGAGCATAAATGAATTATTAGTTATGATTTAGTATCCCACCGCTTTGACGTAGTTGACTGTCTCGGCGGTAGCCTCGGTCAATGCGCGACGCAGTCTCGATCTGCGGGCTTGGGCCAGTGTGCGGGGGCAGAGCAGCACCCCTGGGCCACCGCCTTGCGAGGAGGAGCTACCAGCCGCAGCAGCAGCAGCAGCAGCGGCAGCAGTACCAGCAACGGCACCGCCAGCGCCAGCAGTGGAAGCCCCACCGAAACTGCTCGAGGCCGATTGTTGCTGCTGCTGCGCTTGTTGCTGCTGGGACGACGACTGATGCTGAAGACTCGGTGGATCGCGTTCACGCGAAGTCGAGGACGTCGTCGTCGTCGCCGTCGTGAACGATGCTCGGCTCCACCATGGGAACTACTCGTGTCCGTGTCGGATGGATCGATAAAAATTGTTATAATTCAGCTGCTGTTGGAGGGGGACTTGGGTTGTCTTGGGTTATATCTTGGATTTCTCGGGTGTCTTGGGTATATTGGGCACACTATAATTTGCTGCTGTACGCTGGCGTGTGTGCACGCATGTGGTGCGCTACAAACGTGGCTCGTTTAATCACGCAGCTAAATTAGAACAAAACATCGTGTCGACGATAATCTCGAGCGGCCGTCTAACGGACCAACTAACTACAAATTCATGGACCTCGCGTTTTTCCCTTTTTTCCTACGCAATGCGTCAAGAGTGCCTGCTTCAACTACTACTATACAGTTACACACGAGTGTATGAATGTAACGTTGAATGGTACGCTCCAGTTTGTAATAATGAAAATGATTAAAATTTACCATAAAATATCTCGAATAAATTACACCAATACGTATATTAAGGAAAAAATAAAAGATTCTATTAATACAATAGAAAGTTTCACTACTCGATTAAAGGTATAAAATTCATATACTGTAGTGTATATTGTTGCATAAAAATGTGTATAACATTATTAAATTGAAAAACACACAAGTTGCCATGTACATGGATACATTGAAAAATAAGAGACACACATAAAACACTGAAAATTCATATAAGTTAAAATGAAATACGTAGTAAAAAATTCCTAATTATTATTAATTCCAGCCGCTTGTTTCAAAAGATTATGTGAACAAGGAAAAAAGAAAAAATACGAATTATTAACTTGTTTGAGCCCGAGTACCCATTATTTTGTATATTTACAGTCTTGTTCGAAAAGTTTCAACTTTTTATCAATGCCTAAAAAGCTTGATGAGCTTAACGTCGTTCCCGAACTTTTATCAGCGTCCGAGTTTAGAAATCACGAGTAAGGAAAGAAAAAAAAGTGATTAGTCTTGCAAAGTAAATTTTGTAATTCTTAATCGGCTTTCGATGTCTTCGCTTCTGGGAAGGTAAAAAAGATCCTTGTTATCGGATTGCCAATCGAAGATGTCAGCAGGAACAAGCTTAGCGACGCGCGATACGATAGCTCTGTGTTATCACTGTGCAGTATGTACAGTTTAGCGCCAGCGCACACATCAAAATTTGCATCGGTCTCATTGTCGTCCGAATCTCTCGTATAAGATGTTAATTACAATGCAGCGAGGTCAACACGCAGAACAAAAAACGACAAAAGGGAAAAGATTGGAGAAAAAAATTAGTCACATACACGCAAATACACACAGCCGCATACACCCAAAAAATCGAGTCTGTATACGTTAGGAGGGAAGAGTAAAAGTCGAGGGAGCCGAAAGAGAAACCTGTATTACCTGTCGGAACTGCCTGATGCCGCCGTTGATCCTCAGCGAGTCGGCGGCGATACCGGCTATACCGTCGCCGGGTTCGCGCAGCTGCCGCAGCGAGGTGGCGCCCCCGACGCCTGCGCCGCTGTGGTACGAGCCGCCGTGGCCGTGCAGAGAGTAGCCGCCGCAGCACGAGCCGCAGCTCTGGCAGCAGCAGGAGCAGCAGGTCCCGCCGCAGTTGGCCGCGCCGACGGCCGCCGCCTCGGGCTGCGAGCTCTGCCGGATCATGCGGCTCGAGGTGGGCGACGAGGTCACGAGCACCGCCGGGGGCAGGTGGCTGCCCGAGCCGCCGCCGACGTAGTGGGCCCCGATGAGGCCGTGGCCGGAGCCGCCGCCGCCCTGGCACGGGCAGCAGTGGTGCGAGGACGAGGCGCCGCTGCCACCGCCGCCGATGCTGATGCCGCCACCGCCCGAGCGCACCGATTCCCTGCAACACAACAGGCGTAGTCGTGCGCCAGCCAGTCAAACAGACATTGCCAGTGAAACGAGTCAGCGCTCGGTCGGACGACAACCTGCGCGCCTCGATCGTCGCTCTCGTATCCGACGCGCTGCGCCGCGTGAATATAAAAAGAGGAGAGCAAAAAAAAAACTACTGGCTCGGAGGGAAGGGGGTCGACATCGAGCCGGAGATTCAGGTCAAACGTTGATTGAACGCTCGAAGCACAACATGTGCCCAATGCTCCTAGTCGAATTTTATCCCAACGGATAATTCTATATGTACTTAATTGAAATATTTCCAATAGGATAATCCCAAGGAAAAAATCTGTCCGTTGTATTCTTTCTTTTTTTATTCGTCCAATTAATTTGACCGAGGCTATCCCCGGATTCGATGGCGAACATCGCGTACTGTGACTTTGCCTCCGAGCGACTACACGTACGTTTATATATATCCAGCTTGTGTATATACGTGTACATCTCATTTTGTGTTGCAGTGTAATTCTAGTGTCACATCTCGAGTGTATCTCCTTGGCGCGGGGTTCACGACATCTCGCGCGCGAGCGCGCGGGTCAAGCGCTTATATACCCCCGTGTGGGTGGCTGCTCTGACTCGTCGACCCGGTTTTGTTTACGACACACACAAGACGCTTAGAGAGAAAGAGTCACACAAGAGTTAACGCCTGCATATACTCCCGTGGCCGCACACGTTAATTACTCGGGGGCGCGCTGTTACATTTTCGCAAAATATACGAAAAAAATAAACGAACGAATAAACGAATGGATAAATTGCTTTTCGGTCGTGCGCGCGCGCTATAGGAACGATTGATTCGGGGGGGCTCGAGGCTACGGCTATTATAATGAGATCGAAAACGACGCCGAGCCAGTGTGTTCTTGTATCTTGACCCGATTGTGCAAGCGCGACATTTTGTTGGTGGATACATAAATACCCGGTAAGAAAAGGCCGTAGCGAAGCCGAACTCAATAATGTAAGAACAAGATTGCATAGATAAGAAGTTGGTTGGAAGCATAGCGGACGACTCGCAATACTCCTTCATGCAAGTTTAATTAAGCCACTTGATTGCTATATGTGTGTGTCTCGCGGAATACATGGGGGGCTATAGGTCGGTGCAAAGTCAAATAGTTTTCGAGCGTGCAAATACACGTTATACGTACGAAGAGACGTAAATGTTTATGCGCGCGCTTCTTTACACGAGCTGACTATAGCGATCGATTGAATAAAATCTCGGATGCATATTTGCCCGATGGAAACGTACATATAGGCAGCCCCCCGGCTCGGAAAGCGCCGACGAGGACTTTTACTGCTATCAGAGCTACTGACGGGTTTGTCTAAACAAGTCGACGAAACTCTCGTTACAAACAAACAGCGATAAAACAAGCGTATATCCGCACCTTTACGCTCGTTAAACTCGATTGGAGTTTCGTAACGCTCGGATAGTCCATCAACGCGTGAGTCGACTCGTCGCTCGCGATCTGCACATAAAATATCCTAATCTCGTTGTCACGCGCTCGCGGACCCATCGTCGTCAAACCGAAACTCGTACTGTACGTGCATCTACACCACTGCAAAAGGGTACGACGACTGACGTACGGACAAGGAGCCGCGGGCCAATGAACCGCAGGAGCTACTCGAGAAAGAGCGAGACGATTTTATCGGCGCTCGATAATGCTTCACTTTTTGCGTCGTCGCGTTTACTTTGCCTCGCTGGTTAATGGCATGCGGCCCGACGCGAAACTACAAGCCAATTACGAGACACGCTAATCGACCAACACAGGACGACTCGTTCTGGCCGTTCTCTGCATTAATCCCCCCACCAAACGACTCGAGGCGCTTAGTTTCCTTTTACGCGGCGCGATATTTCGAAAAAAAAATTGAGAAAAGAAGCTATGCAGTACATTGGCATTCCAGCGCGAAACAGCCAGCTGTAATGGCACGTACTGCGCGTAGCAACGAATCGATGACGGTGTCGGGAATAAAGGGGAATCGTCGCGTCGGGGGAAATGAGATTGTCTCGCTCTCGGCGAATAGCTCGAGGCCCGATACAATTGGACGTCGCGCGAAATGGCATCGGTATCGCCGCTCTCCGCAAGCTAACGAGTCGCGACAGCATAGATAGAGTAACTCACCTGGATACGCTTCTGGCGAGATGCAGCGCCGAGGAGGGCGCCAGTGAGTCCCTCCGGTCGCACCTACATCTAGGATGAAAATGAGAGTGATGCCTCGATCTGTAATGGCCATGCTGATGATGGCAGAGGTGCGGCAGTGCGTGCTGATGGTGCTGGTGGTGCTGTACGTTGAGCGACGACGACTGGTGCTGCAGCTGGGGCTGCTGCTCGTCCAGCCGGCACTGGAGCTCGATGTCGGGCACGGACCTCGCGGCCGACCCCGCCGTCGTCGGGTCATCGACGCTCGGCTGGCTCTCCTCGGAGCCGCCCAAGCCCGAGACAGAGAGCTGGGGCGAGGCCACCAGGTAGGTGGCTCGGTCCTGTCGCTGCAGCACGGGCTTGTTCTGGCCGGCCAGTCTGCTGCCGGACGGGCCTTGCTGCTGCTGTTGGTGGAACTGCTGCTGCTGCTGGCGCGACGACGAGCCGAGGCTGTTGATGCTGCCGGCGCTCGACGAGTTGGCGCTGCCTATGTGCACGACGACCGTCGAGGCCTGGGGCGGCACGACGACCGGCTGGACCGAGGCCCTGGGGCTCAGCAGCGCCGCCGTCTCCTCGCTGCCGCTGCCGTACTCGCTGCCTGCGCCACATTCTTGGAGATCCGACGACGACTGGCCCTCGCCGCTCATCTCTCGGAGCCCAGGCGGAGGCTCGGACTGCCCTGCGCCGAGCCAATACGACTCTCACACCCGAGCGCTTGCGAGGATCGACGATGTCACATGGCTGCTGGCTCGCCTGGGCCGCTCTCGGCTCTCTCTCTCTCTCTCTCTCGGCGCCCTGTCGACCTCTCTGCAACACACGCAAGCAAATACGCACGATCGTCATGAGTGTGGTCACATGTTAAGCTACGTTCTATATACGTGACAAAAGTGAATAAATTTCCCGGCTCGCGATGCTTTTCCTGTAACAAATTATATCGCGCACTGACACGCTATACAGAAGGACGAGTGCCGCACGCCGACGACGCGTTAATAACACGTACGATACGTTAGGCCGTCGACCCGCGAGCTTCATTTGCCAATTACACCGACGAGCTTAAAGGATAGTGCTTATAGTCGGTACGACACAGAGCACTCTTTCGCGCAGCGGCTCCATGCCAGCGCGCACGAGGGCTATAATTTAAGCTCGTGGATTATTAACAAAGTCTCGCTCTTGCGCAGCAGCATTAGCATTGAAATTTCGGATCAGGGGAAACGAGAAGGTGAAGGGGGGGGGGGTCGATATGTCGACGTAATATCGTTTCAACTGAACCCGCGTATTGACCATCAAATACGAATAATACCTTTCCCGATAGTTAGCACGGGATCGAGCTTGCAAGCTCAAATTACTCCTTCCTCGGGCTCTGTGTGCTGTGCATGTGACGGCTGCACATACACGTGAATGTGTATGTACACGCAAGCTACACGTCTTTGAAGTGAAGCTCGCTTCATAATGGCGTGCACACACACACACGCGGGGTAGTATGAACTGCGATATCCATCCATGTATGGATTTGCAAATGTCGACGTTTGTTTGCTACTGTGTGAGTGCGCCAGTATGTGTTTGTCCGTGACATCTGGCGGCCGTATTGGATATTCAGGTCGTTATATGTATGTATGTATACGCGCATCGTCAGTCACGTATAAGCTCGTTAATATTCAGTGTTTGGCAAAATTTGCATCTTATGCGTGCTTTGCGAGTATATATATACCAGCGATATAAGCGTACGTATTTATTGAATTCACTTTCACGCCCGGCAGCCTCCGGCCTAAGATAATACCTCGATTGATTGCAACTACCAGTCGCTAAGATAGCATTATATCCCTCGACAGGAATACGTTTCCGATACTTGTTCGGTTTAATGATCGCAAAAATGCATCGACGAGTATGCGACAAGTTAAATACAACTCGTTTACCAACCTTCCCTTTCCTTTGCTTCGATTGCCCAAACACCGGATGATATCTCTATTGCTTCCTTTTTTTTTAACACGGACAAATTTCGACGCGTTTGATCTACGGAAAAAGGGAGATAAATAGTGACTTTTTTTCTATGCACCGGTCCATTGAAAAATATCAACCCTCCGAGCCAATTCAAACACACAACAACCAAGTTTCACTGGGAATTGAAACGCAACGTGTGTCAATGGCAAGATCGATCTTCCTTGTTATCTGCAAAAAGCCGTGAGCGGCAACACACAATTGTTTCGAAGAGAGAGAGAGAGAGAGAGAAAACTATCAAGGCAAACTTCGGATTCATATCTATTCGATGTACGGCATTATTGAGCGAAAACACGTATAATCGTTGCAAATTGGCAAATTGCACGAATTTACTGTGTAACTATTGCTACAACTTACTGGCAAGAAATCGAGATTCTAATGTGTCGAGGATCAAACAATTTACCTGAAGTAGCACTAAATTATAACCAAATTACACTGTGAACGACCAAATGGCGGTTAGCGAAAACATACCTGCCTAATAGCCAAGCCGCAATTACAATGTTTAGCATACCCTTGCATTCTTTAATGTACTTTTAATTAAATCAGAAAACGAGCTGCTATATTTTCCCCGCAATACAATGTAATAATTGAGTTCATTACGTTATTTAATTGATTGATTGAGTGACCTACTTATGATCTCTGTGAATGGAATTGAAAAATACTGCCCCACTTAATCGCCTTAATTGTTGCTCGCAGTGTTAATTGCTGTTCTTTGTGTGTTCTGCTTGATGTATCAATTCAATTCAACTTCCGTTTGAAGTTTCACGTAATCTGGTTAGCTACGATAGTTGTATATCAGAATTTAAAATTCGAGAACTTCGCGAGCCTTTTCTGAAAGAAATGGTGAAGTGATACATGAAGCTGAAAGTAAATGTAAATTAAATGCAAAAATTAAGAAAAGAGCGTGGAAGCACGCAGCGCAGTACTTACAGTTGAATAACAAAGTTCAAAATACTAAGTTTTGATGTTATAGAACGAAACTTTGGCTCGCGAGTAAGAGCGGAAAAGATGGAAGTATGCATAATAGATTGTATACGTATGCAGGCTTCGAGAAAATAAGAATACGTACGCATTGCTGAGATTTGCGTGTGTGAGGGTTTAATTTCACTCAAAATAGAGCCTGCAACTCGTGTGTGAAAAGGAACAAATTCCCGTGAAGTATTTGGATACACGAGAGTCTAATAGATATTTGAGCATGAGCGCGTAGCACCAGTCAACCTGTGCTGCCTGAATAATTTAATGTATGTACTTTCCGTTGTGAAGCTTAATCGCTACTTCCTCCACGTGTGCATGATATATACATAGGAGAAGGACGATGAGCTTTTCAGAAAGAGCTTTGCGATTCGCTTTTTTCCAAAAACTACGCCTGGCGCTCGCACGAGAGATCGAATTGTAGAATTATTTTTTAATTTGCCAATCGTTGAGTCGCACTAGAGTAATAAAAAATAAATACTATCGCTCAAAAAAATTAAAATATATTTTTAAGAAACAAAGTCAGCCAATTTTATGATTAGTTTAAACTAATTTTACCTAAAAGGACAGAAATTAGGTCATTTATTGAATTAATTGATTAAATTATTATTTTATTCATTGATAAATATACCAAAATAAAAATAAAAAACTGTTTTGCAGTAATTGGATACCAATTCGTCGTAAATAGATCAGGAGTCAGGTGTTGTCAATTTTTTAGGAAAGGAGACTAAAAGCCAGAAAAATTCCATGTGAAAGTCTCAGTCTCGTTTCAGGGTTGCAAATACCCAAACACAGTATATTTTCTGTACGTATAGAGAACATTTTTTCGATTCCATTTTCTGCTAGCGTGCAATTTTATACCTTGGAGAATTCTTAAATTTTCTCGAAGCTTTTGTTTATTTATTTAATGCTCATGAAAGTGAATTACTCACACTGAATTCACGTTGGATAGCAAATTTTATGCTTTTGTTGCAGAGGGGCTCAATTTACGTTTCACGTACTTTTATGATTAAATATTGAAAGTATTGAATTTTGTCAAATGAGTGCAGTTCCATAGCCTTTTATCATTAAAAAAGAAGCTTTAAAATTTCTCACTAAGCGCATTTGATGCTGCTAATGATAATCATATTTTATTAATTTTTTAATTAGAGAATTCATATAGATTTTAAATAAAAGTAAATTGAAGTGCATCGTAAGCTCAACAGTCCATTGCATTATTTTAGAAAATTCCCTGACAGAGTAAGATGGCACATCAGAGTATATATATGAAACTTGAATAATATTTATGATCAAGCCATATGTCACTCGATCCTCTTGACTACAGTAGGGTCTACGTAATGTTCATAAATTAATTTATTACCATATATAGCCGAGGGAACGACGATGCACATCGGCTTTCGACGCTTCATCTACTTTCCCAGCTCTTTTCCAGTACGTTTTGTACTTACTAAGGCCTTTTTTCGCTTGATTATACGGGGTGCCTTTTTCGTGTGTTTTTATTTTGGCTAGAGTAAAATCCTGGATATTATTCAGCATTAATCAGGTTTGACTATCAACTATAAGTATAATACTATATACAATTCTTACAAATTTTTGACTTTGGAGAAACATTGAAAGTTTATCTTATTTAGCGTAGATTGTTAAAACGATCGTAGTTTGAAAATATCGGCTGAAAAAATTTATATATTGTTCAAAACCAAAAGATCACTGAAAAATCGCATTATGCTCAAGATACCAAAGAAACTATACGCACGCACGAGTGATCAGAAAACAACGTGAAAAACGATATCTCACTCTTACTCTCTTCACGTGTCATCTCGTATAGTACAATAAAAAAAGGAAAAGAAAAAGGGGAAATAAAGCTGAAAAAGGAAAAAATCGCCACGTGTCGAGTTGCATTCTTATCTACACGAGAAAAGGGCAAAAATACGGAAGCGAGACAAACATCTCGCGGGAAATTCCAGTTTCGTACGTGCTTGAGGCGCGAACGAGTTACAATTTCCAGCTTCTCTTAAAAAAAGAGGAGGAATATATGCAAGCAGCTCTGGCATTTCGTGCATAAGGTCGATTACTCGCTGGCATGCTCGTTAGTATGTATTTTTAATTGTAGAATGGCGATAACGGCTTGGTTAATTCGTCACGTAAAAAGTTATTAGCCCCCGCGGCGTGAATCGATTTGCATTCATACAAAACATGGCTCGGACTCGCGCGAGGAAAATGTGTTTCTTCCGATTGGCGTACTCTCGCGTGGGGTCTGAATTAATTGTAAAACTTTTTCACTTTCGCCATATATATATATTTACGCGGGGGCTCGGTGAAACTCAAACTTCAAGTTCGCCCAGCGCGATAAAGAGTTCTTTTTCTTTGGATTCTCGTTGGCGAGAGACGTTTGGCCTACGTTTTAATTAAAACTAGTAGAGAGTGAAAATGAAGATGGAAAAATGTGCTTCGCACGAGTCCTATATAGTCCTTGCTATATATCGGGAGCCTGATAGGCCGGGAATATTCGATAGGTTTTTTCCGCACTTGTCAAACAGCGGTGACATGGAAATGAAGGTGTAGCGCCGCGCACGCCTGCGAGCGCGATCCTTTGTGTCACTTAATTATTCGTGCCTATTTTCGGCTCAAAGTAGGCCAGTGGCTTTAGAGTAGCGCGCGCCGCTGCTCTCTGCAGCATGGCTGATTTTCATGAATATATACGTGTTATAATCAAGTTGTCATATCGCACTCGCGAGCAGATGCGGGCTTAACCCGATTTTTGCCCTCGGCGCGTTATTTTTCATTTTCGTCGCGCGCGGATAAGGATGTTCGCGCGGACGAATGCGATAACAATGGCCTTT